GACCACCTCAGGGCCCCCGCAAATTTAAGCTTCATTAGCTTCATGGTAAATCTAGCTCTGAATCAGACCAGCTGAAACCCCACAAATTGGAAATAACTATTATTACTTTATCAGCATTTCATAGTACTAAGTACTGAAAATAGTCAAGGTGTTCTGCTACCTGATATTTCTTTCACAATTGAAGGCTTCTGAAATGCTTAAAATATTTTGTAGCATAATGAACATGGGAAGTGTCAGCTCACACTCTGCTGATATGTTCTTTCATCCCATAAAAACATAGAAAAAAGTTAAAAAGCAAATAAGAAAATGGCCAAGATAATTGAAAGTGAAACTGATAAGGAAAGAATCTTTTGAATTCTTGATTGAAATAGATTTCCATAAACCAAAAATCCTAAAAGGTTGTTTAAGTCATTCACTTGAAATGAGAACAGTTGTAAGACATTATGATATAGACAGGCATCTGGTACTTCTTTGGGCTTATTCATATTGTTTCCATGGTTGTTACAGCTTTTTCTAACATTCATTAAAATAAATATAAGACTGTGACAGTAGAAGAATTATTGTAAGTACTAGAAGCCCATTGCACGAAGGTTCGCACAATAGGCCTTCCTTCCCCTGGCTGCTGGCACCAGTTTTTCTCCGGCACCCAGGACCTAGGCCTTTGGTGTGGCTGCAGCGGAGAAGCCAAGCATCTTCAGTCTTCAATCTTCATTCTGGCTGGAGCCTTCAGTTTTCGCTCCGCACCTGCATATGCAAATTAACCACCATCTTTGGTGGGTTAATTTGCATAGTCACTGTGATTGGCTGGTGGGTGTAGCAGAGTGACACAAATTTGCATGTTTCTCTTTTATTAGTGTAGATTCTTTTAGTTTAATAAAAAACCACCTGAAACCATTATAGGTATGAGAACCATTTGAAGGAAGCACAGAGGATTTCGGGCAGAGGAAGGATAAAAAAAAAACAAGGCACGGGGACATGAAATAACATAGTTTATCTTGAAAACTCCAAATACCTTGGAGTAAGAGGAGTAGTCCAGGGAATGTCCAGGGATTGTACTGAAAGGTAAATAGCGGTCCAGTTAACAGACAGTCTGGTTTAAGAAGACTGTGCCTGTCAGGCACTAAGAGAGGATAGTAAGTGGGGAGTGCCATGATGAGACTTGTGTTTTTGAAAGATCAGTCTAGTGGTAGTGTGGAGAGTGGCTTGGAGGACATGGAGACCGAAGGCGAGAAAGATGCTATAACAGTTCCATTGGGGATGGAAGGTAAGAGATAGATTAGAGAGTCTAGGAAGGCAGTCAGAATAATTTAGTGGAACATTAACAATGGAGATTGAAGATTTGTCCTATCCTGTTTCTCTGCTATAACCCCAGGACTGAGCTCAGTGCTCACAGGTAGGAGACCGTGGAGACTTGGGTGACTGCCAGGTTTCCAGTTTGGTGGTTATCAAGTACTGCCATTAACCAGGATGTTTGTGGGAAAATTTTAGAGGGCTGTAATGACCCCAGTTTTGAGTGCATTAAATGTGAGGGCCTGTAAGTAGATATATCTAGTATACAGCTCAGGGCTCAAGTAAGGCCTAGAAACAGAAATGTGAGAGTCATCAGCACTCATAGGAGGGAGTAAGAATGAGAGAGGCATTTTGAAGGGGATCTTAGAAAAAGGCGAAGGAGAACACCACGGTTTTTATAGGAGAAGAAAGGCAACAGAAAAAGCAACTGAGAAAGAAGAGTTTCAAGGAAAATGCAGTGATTAACAAGGTCAAATACATCAAAAAGGTGAAACCCAATGGAGCTTGTGCACAACAATGGAGTTGGGGGGAGGAATATGAATGACACTTTCCTCCAAGTTGAGTGAGTGAGACTTGAGACATGAGACATGGGATGTAGGCAAGTGGAGGAAGAACCAGTAGCTTAAGGGTCCTCTAAGCATGAAGGCTCTTTCCTCATGAGGGAAGAGACAATCTGATTTACATGCAGAAAAAGTAACCAAAAGAATTGGACAAGTTAAAATTGGATGAAATTGAGGACAGTTAAATTACGCAAAACTCTCTGAGGATAAGGAAAGGGATGAGGTCAAAAGAGTATGGAGGGGTAAGGATATGGAGAAATTGAAGCCCTCATGCATTGCTGGTTGGAATACAAAATGGTGTAGCTGCTATGGAAAACAGTTTGTCAGTTCTTCAAAAAGTTAAGTGTAGAATTACTGCATGATCCAGAAATTTCACACAAAAGAATTGAAAAGAGGGACTCAAACAAATACTTGCATGCAATCTTCATTGAAGCATTATTAGCAATCACCAAAAGGTGGAAACGACTCAAGTGCCTATGAACAAATAAATGTATAAACAAAATGTGGTATATACAGACAATGGAATATTATTCAGTCATAAAAAGGGAAGAACTTCTGATACATACTACAACATGGATGAACTTTGAAAGTATGCTAAGTAAGATAAACCAAATAGTGCCTGGATTCCATTTACTACTATATGCAATACCTAAAATAGGCAAACTTATACAGACACAAAGTACATTAGAAGTTACCAAGGGCTGAGAAGAAGGAGGCAGTTATTATTTAATGGATTTTCTGTTTAAGGTTATAGAAGAGTTTGAAAAATAGTGGTGACAATTATACAACATTGTAAATGTAATTAATGCTGAATTATGCATGTAAAAATAGTTAAACTGGCCTATTTCATGTTATATATATATTTTACCACAATACAACGTAATGTCAGCCATAACATACATGGTGGTTCAAATAAGTTCAATTGTTTTATTTTTTTAACAGAGAGAATATGAAAGGATTAATTCTGAGCAAGACAGGGATATCTTCCTCTATCCTCCCTATCCTTCCAATGCTCTGGGGCATAGGTGAGGATGTATGTAGATACAGCTATAATTGCCCTCGTCCTCAGGGACATTAGGTAGCTCCTAACAGTCTCTATTTCCTTGGTTAAACAAGAGCTAAGCACCTCTGCTTAGAGTGGACAGGATGGGTAGAATTTTAATGAGCAACTAGAGGAGAGCAAATGAAGGTTAAGAATGACCACCAAGGGGAATGGAAGAGGGAGCTGACCAAGGATAAATAAGAGAACTGTTAAGGTATTCTACACCCGAGTGATACTGGTACACTACACAAGTATAATGTTTCATCTTCATGATTTCTTGGTTTTCCCCCTCAACTGCACCATGTATAGAAGTAGAAAAGCTACATTGCTCCTGGATGGGGGGGTTTGTGGCTTGAGCACAGTAGAGGGCTAATAGCCTAAGAGGGCCAACCAGAGGGTGCAGACTTAGTATGAAAGAGCATCCTGAGGGGACTCTTGACCCTAGCAGTGGTTCTCAACCTTCCTAATGCCGCAACCCTTTAATACAGTTCCTCATGTTGTGGTAACCCCCAACCATAAAATTATTTTCATTGCTACTTCATAACTGTAATTTTTCTACTGTTATGAGTCATAATGTAAATATCTGATATGCAGGATGTATTTTCATTGTTCACGACCCACAGGTTGAGAACCGCTGTGAGAAAGTGGAGTTGAAATGAAAAGGTGGGTATAAATGGGAGTGAGGAGTGAGAGAACAGATATTTAGCTGTCAGTGTTGTAGAAGTAGGACTTTTCTGGTTGATGATAGTATAAGGGTAGGCTCTAAGAGTGAAGGTGAAGTTGTAGAAATGGTCGGTGTATTAGAGTAGACTAACTGCTGGCACAATAGATGAAAACATGCATAATGACTTAATTAAAGTAGAAGTTTATTTCTTGATCATATAGATAGTCCATACTGGGGGTGTCTGTTTCATAGTAATTCAAGGATCCAGAATGGAGGTTCTATCATCTTCAACCAGAAGTTTTCAAGATTATCTGGGTATTGCTATCTAGTTGCTATAAGGATAAAGAGCAAGGAGGAGTTCACGTAGGTGGTTTCATTGGCCAGGACCTGAAAGAGGTGCACATCAGTCCCTTCATTGGCCAGAGTGTGGTCATATGACCATACCAAATTGCAAGGAAGTCTGGGAAATGTGCAGTTGTGTGTCCTAGGAAAAAAGCAACCAGCAGCCCTCGCTACACTTGAACTTTAAAGCCATTTTTAAAGCATTTCTTGTTGTAGTATTGTTACTTAGTTAAATACAGAGAAATTTCAAAAAGACTAACTTTAAAAAAGCACCTGAAGTGAAGAAGCTTTATCTGATCATGCATGGGCAACACTCATTTCTAATTCTGTTCCTTCAACCTACTCTTTTTAAAAAATCTAGTCAGACATTTCTATAACCCAGTTACCTCATTTGATGAACTGAATTTCATACTTTTTCCTTCATCAAAAATGTGTACAAGATTTTTTTGTGAGATAGAACCCCTTTATCACCCACTTGTGCCAGCAGCAAATATTAAATAATACAGAAAGATACCATTAAGTCACTGAAGGCATCAGCTCAAATGATCCAAAATAAATTCTGTGCCTGATTTAAGTGCAAGACCCATTTTGCTTCAGATTGTTACTTTAATTAAATGAGGTAAGACTTCTTTTTAGAGCTGCACAAATGTTCTCTTCCTGTTAACAAGCTTCTCAGTGTTGGATATTTAAATTAGGTGAAATCTGCCCTAGCTGGTTTGGCTCAGTGGATAGAGTGTTGGCCTGGGGACTGAAGAGTCAATTCCAGTCAAGGGCACATTCCCCAGGTTGCAGGCTCAATTTCCTGCTTTACCTCACTATTTTTCCACCTTTCTTGATGATCACTCTTTTTCTCTTTCTAGCCTTTCTCTTAGCTTCTCTTCCCAGTGGGGGCATGCAGGAGGCAGCCGATCAATGATTCTCTCTCATCATTGATGTTTCTATCTCCCTTCCTCTCTGAAATTAATATATATATATATATATTAAATAAAATATATTATATATTAAATTATATATTTAATAATATATATTAATAATATATATTTAATAATATATATTAAATTAAAATATATATATATTTAAATTAGGTGAAATCTCCCCAGCATGTATATTATCCACCCCCAATTTTCCACCAATAGGAATACAAGGCAAGCACAGCATCAGCCAAGAGTCATTGGCTAATAATGTTCCATCACAATCACTCCACCCACAGTGAGCTGCAGAGGTCAGGGAGGGTAGGAGGCACTGCAAAGGACACCTACAGCAAAGAGGAATTTCTCCCAAAAGAGACTTTGTTCCAGGAACCCTGTGATAAGATTCAAAGGGTCTTGGTATAGACTTGAGTAGCTCACCATCTTCCTTTTCAAAATCATATGGAAACTCTTCAGAAAATAAACTCTGTCTTGGTGAGGAAAGATCCTTTAAAGAAACATGGTGAATTATTATGAAGTACTAGGGGTGCCTCAAAATGCTTCCTCTTCTGATATTAAGAAGGCTTATCACCAGTTAGCTCTTCAGGTACACCCAGACAAGAACTCAGAAAACAAAAAGGCAGCTGAGGAGGAATTCAAACGAGTATCTGAGGCCTATGCAGTCTTGTCTGATGCCGAGAAACGCAACAGTTATGACAAGTCCAGAAGGAGCCACATCAAAAGAGAAAATAGAGGAGATGGCAGAAACAAAAACGATTTGAAGGAGGAAGAGTGGTTTGAGAGACCACACTGTGGCTCTCACAATGCCTTTGAAGATAAAGACCTCTTTTCGGGAGATTGTTTCCCCACTGGCCATGTGGGTAAATCCAGGAGATTCCACTCTTCCTTTTTTGATGTGACCCCCATTTTGGACACAGGATTTTCCACTTTTGTATCCCTGGGCTCCAGACCAGATTCCCCTTCCTCTGGGAAATTTGTCCCCTTTGTAAGCAGTGGGATGGGAAACTTCAGACTGGTCACCACTTGCAGCCAGATAGTGAATGGCAAGAGAGTTGTTACAAAGAAAGTTTGAGAAAATGTGAGAGAGAAGACTGAAGTGGAAGAAGAAAGTCCATTTCATCAGCTTCCTCTATGCCGTTGGTAAGGAGTTAGTTGCTGCAGTATGTTTTTACAGCAGTCTTTCCTGGAAGGCTGGTGAGTCTGATGCTTATCAGAGACCAGAGTTGGAATCTGAGAGTGTGTTGAACTGGAACGGACAGCAGTCAGCTTAGTCCCAACATCTCATTTTGCAGAGGAGGACAATAATGGGCCACATGTTACATAAGGAACTAGGAAGCAGCAGAGTTTGACCTTTAATTTAGGACAAAGACTTCTGATTCTAAGTTGACCCTTCTTTCCCCCTGCACTATATTTGAGACACTAGAGACCACCACCATGAATATGACCTTCTGAGTCAGGGCCCTACCATCATAAACCCCATTGACTTGTCTTCAACTCTTTTCCTGCTCTACCTCGCTATTGTGCCACTTTCTTGATGATCACTCTTTTTCTCTTTCTAGCCTTTCTCTTAGCCTCTTCTCTTCCCACCTCATCTTTCTTACCATACGTTTCCAATGCACCAAACCAAAATTAGGCTCAATTGAAAGAGTTGCCTAGGTGTGTGGATTGTTAGCAGAGAGAAAGAGTGAAAACTAAATGGGTAAAGATTTTTCACATACTTTTTTAATAGCATTTATTGAGTGCTAAGCAGATGTCAGGAATTCTACTTCACATATGTTACCTCAATAATACTTCAATGGTGAAATACAGTAGCAACTTTCCCCCCATGATATAGATACGAAAATGAGGCTTAGAGAGATTAAGTAACTTGTCCTTGGCCCAACCTAGTAGGCAATAAAATAGTGTCTTGCTCTAAAACAGTGGTTCTCAACCTTCCTAATGCCGCAACCCTTTAATACAGTTCCTCATGTTGTGGTGACCCCCAACCATAAAATTATTTTCGTTGCTACTTTATAACTGTAATTTTGCTACTGTTATGAATCATAATGTAAATATCTGATATGCAGGATGTGTTTTCATTGTTACAAATTGAACATAATTAAAGCATAGTAATTAATCACAAAAACAATATGTAATTATATATGTGTTTTCCAATGGTCTTAGGCGACCCCTGTGAAAGGGTCATTCGACCCCCAAAGGGGTCGAGACCCACAGGTTGAGAACCGCTGCTCTAAAACATTCTTATCTACGGAGGTATAATATCTGTGGATCCTACTCATTTATTTTTAGATCTAGGGTCTTGTCCTCATTGGGAATTTATACCTGCCATCTCTAAATTTTACTTCCATGCATGAGTACTTGCTGGAACTTAATAAGTCTGCAAACATTTTTAATATTATTGCCCAGTAGGCATTTGGTTATTCTTCCATGAAGACAGAAGACAGAAGTAATGTTAAAAGTTTCACTGCCCTAACCAGTTTGGCTCACTGGATAGAGCGTCGGCCTGCGGACTGAAGGGTCCCAGGTTCGATTCCGGTCAAGGGCATATACCTTGGTTGCAGGCACATACCCAGTAGTGGGTGTGCAGGAGGCAGCTGATCGATGCTTCTCTCTCATTGATGTTTCTAACTCTCTATCCTTCTCCCTTCCTCGCTGTAAAAAAAAAAAAAAAAATCAATAAAATATATATTAAAAAAAAAAGTTTCACTGAAACTAGCAAATGATTATCCCTTTAACACAGATATATAGACAGGATCCCAAGATGTGAATTATCTTTTTATTTGGGCTTTAATCATGATATACATGGAATCATGGGATTTGGTCACACTTCAGACTCTTCATTTATACTAAATGAATGGGGTCCAGGGAACTGGATCCTTGTGGAGAGTTACTCCTGGAGTCTGCATTAGAACTCCTATATTCCAGTCTCCACTCTCAGGCTCATTCTAGTGCACCATACAGACTGGCAAACGTTTATACACGTTACATAACAAATGAGTAGCTTTCTTAATTCAAGGAGTATTCCTGTGTTTGCAATTTTTATGAGACAAATGTTTTATGAGTCTTTGAATTTTTTAAATTTTAATAAATTTTTAAAACTTGAACAGGAATATGCCTGCATCCCTCTGGCCAAGGGTAGCATTCAGGTAGAGAGCACTCTTCCAGAAAGGAAGCAGAAGGTGGATTTGGAATAGAAATACATCTCCTTTCTTTCAAAGCCCGTACATTTCCCCTTAGTAGCATTGAGAGTCTCCTATATGTCTGGCACTGTGCTAGTTGCCTTACATGAATGCATCATTTTTTATCTCCAGAATCCTTCATGGGTTTACTTCCATTTCACACATGAGGAAACTGAGGTTTAGGGATGTTAGGTCCCTTACCCAGAGTCACACAGTAAGTTGTGGAGACAAGGTTCACACTGTGGTTTGACCTGGAAGCTCACATTTCCATTACGCTGAATTCTACTCCCATTCATCTGAGCTATTATAGTTTGCTTTAATAGGAAATTTCTGTTGTTGAACTCTATTCATTTCAAAAGTTTTAAAATGAGGATTTCAAAGTAGAGCTTTCTTTTGAACCCTAGTCCGAGGTGAATTACAGTGTGGCTACTGAACAAAGGGAAAATCAAATTGGAGTGTGGAATATGATTTTCCATTTTGTCTCAAATAAAATCCCAATTTCAGCATTTTTCACAGACATACTTGGCTTTTGACAGAAATGCTGAGTTGTAGGACTTTTTGCCAGCAAAGAATTTTAAAAATTCACTTTCAGTTAATCAAGGAAATTTTCTTGTTGTATAGCAATGAAAGCAGTGTCATCTCTTCCTGGTGCCAGTTTGAAATATGTAATAAGTGAAGTAGGAGCAGACATCAGCAAAGGAAAGATGGAGAGCAGGAAGGGCTTGGCGGCTTTCTAAAGCATTCCAAGTAGGTCTGTGTCATCTCAGCGCGTAAGCAAGAGCATGCGCTTTGAAGTGACCTGTGACTCAGATTCCTATGACCTCACAGTGCCTTCAGAACAGCTCCCGTGACTTCCAGGTGTCAGAAGCTCCTCAGCCAACTCTCAAACTTGCAGATTTGACTGATGGGCCATCTTTGGGGTTACTAGCTGCTGAAAAAGAAGAAAAATACTTTATATATTTTTTTATTAATTAAATCTTTATTGTTCAGATTATTACATTTGTTCCTCTTTTTACCCCCCATAACTCCCCTCCACCCAGTTCCCACCCCACCCTCCTCCCTCACTCCCCACCCACTGTCCTCATCCATAGGTGCACGATTTTTGTCCAGTCTCTTCCTGCACCCCCCCACACCCCTTTCCCCCCCAAGAATAGTCAGTCCACTCCCTTTCTATGCCCCTGATTCTATTATAATCACCAGTTCATTCTGTTCATCAGATTATTCACTTGATTTTCAGATTCACTTGTTGATAGATGTGTATTTATTGTTCATAATTTGTATCTTTACCTTTTTCTTCTTCTTCCTCTTCTTAAAGGATACCTTTCAGCATTTCATATAATACTGGTTTGGTGGTGATGAACTCCTTTAGCTTTTCCTTATCTGTGAAGCTCTTTATCTGACCTTCAATTCTGAATGATAGCTTTGCTGGATAAAGTAATCTTGGTTGTAGGTTCTTGGCATTCATCACTTTGAATATTTCTTGCCACTCCCTTCTGGCCTGCAAAGTTTCTGTTGAGAAATCAGCTGACAGTCGTATGGGTACTCCCTTGTAGGTAAATGACCTTCTTTCTCTTGCTGCTTTTAAGATTCTCTCTTTGTCTTTTGCTCTTGGCATTTTAATTATGATGTGTCTTGGTGTGGTCCTCTTTGGATTCCTTTTGTTTGGGGTTCTCTGTGCTTCCTGGACTTGTAAGTCTATTTCTTTCACCAGGTGGGGGAAGTTTTCTGTCATTATTTCTTCAAATAGGTTTTCAATATCTTACTCTCTCTCTCCTTCTGGCACCCCTATAATTCGTATGTTGGTACACTTGAAGCTGTCCCAGAGGCTCCTTACACTATCTTCCTATTTTTGGATTCTTTTTTCATTTTGCTTTTCCGGTTGGGTGTTTTTTGCTTCTTCGTATTTCAAATCTTTTACTTGATTCTTGTGATCCTCTAGTCTGCTGTTGGGAGTCTGTATAATATTCTTTATTTCAGTCAGTGTATGCTTAATTTCTAGTTGGTCCTATATCACAACCTCGAGGGTCTCATTAGATTTCTTGTAGGTCTCATTAAGTTTATCAGCAGTTTCTAGAAAATTCTTTTTTTTTTTTAATTAAATCTTTATTGTTCAGATTATTACATTTGTTCCTCTCTTTTTTTCCCCCCATAACTCCCCTCCTCCCAGTTCCCGCCCCACCCTCCGCCCTCACTCCCCACCCACTGTCCTCATCCATAGGTGCACGATTTTTGTCCAGTCTCTTCCCGCATCTCCCACACCCCTTTCCCCCCCAGGAATAGTCAGTCCATTCCCTTTCTATGTCCCTGATTCTATTATAATCGACAGTTCATTCTGTTCATCAGATTATTTATTCACTTGATTCTTAGATTCACTTGTTGATAGATGCATATTTGTTGTTCATAAATTGTATCTTTACCTTTTTCTTCCTCTTCCTCTTCTTAAAGGATACCTTTCAGCATTTCATATAATCCTGGTTTGGTGGTGATGAACTCCTTTAGCTTTTCCTTATCTGTGAAGCTCTTTATCTGACCATCAATTCTGAATGATAGCTTTGCTGGATAAAGTAATCTTGGTTGTAGGTTCTTGGTATTCATCACTTTGAATATTTCTTGCCACTCCCTTCTGGCCTGCAAAGTTTCTGTTGAGAAATCAGCTGACAGTCGTATGGGTATTCCCTTGTAGGTAACTGAGTTTCTTTCTCTTGCTGTTTTCAAGATTCTCTCTTTGTCTTTTGCTCTTGGCATTTTAATTATGATGTGTCTTGGTGTGGTCCTCTTTGGATTCCTTTTGTTTGGGGTTCTCCGCGCTTCTTGGACCTGTAAGTCCATTTCTTGCACCAGGTGGGGGAAGTTTTCTGTCATTATTTCTTCAAATAGGTTTTCAATATCTTGCTCTCTCTCATCTTCTGGCACCCCTATAATTCTGATGTTGGTACGCTTGAAGCTGTCCCAGAGGCTCCTTACACTATCCTCGCATTTTTGGATTCTTTTTTCATTTTGCTTTTCCGGTTGGGTGTTTTTTGCTTCCTCGCATTTCAAATCATTGACTTGATTCTTGCGCTCCTCTGGTCTGCTGTCGGGAGTCTGTATAATATTCGTTATTTCAGTCCGTGTATGCTTAATTTCTAGTTGGTTCCCCAATATAAGATCGAGGGTCTCATTAGTTTTCTTGTAGATCTCATTAAGTTTATCGGCGGCTTCTAAACAGTTCTTGAGAGACCTTAAAAGTGTGGTTCTGAACTCTATATCTTCCATTGACAATTTTGTCCTGTTTCTTTGTCTCCGCATTTTGTTATGCTTCCTTGGTGCACCCCCTAGTGGTCTTTGTTCGCAGTCTTATAGTTAAATCTTGATTGTTGTAGCTAATTCCAGGGAGGGTTTGACCTCCAGGCCAAGTGGCTATGAGAATCAGCTGTGTCAGCAGTGAGAGAACTTCTGTCCTCTAGGGAGGTCCTAATCTAGCCTTTGCCTGAGGCTATCCGGCAAATGCCTGTGTGCAGGGCTTGGGCGGGGCGGGTCGCACAGGATCAACAGGGTGGGCCAGAGAGAGCAGTTATGGCGGCTCTCAGTCCTGTCCCCAGGGGCTCTGCCTCTCAGAGTCCCAGCACCCGCTGCAAAGCTCAGAGAGAAAGCTGCACTCGCTCTGACCGAAGCCAGACAGTCCCGCTTCTCCCGTTTGAGTGTGGGTCCCTAAAGACTCGCCCGGATCTGGAGCTCAGAGTCTGCGACTCCCTCCCGATTGAAAACGCCAACCGCGCCCTCCGCCGCCAGCCCGCTCGCGCACTCCGCACCTCAGAACTTGACTTCAGCACTGTGCCTCCTCTGAGTGTCCGTATGCGTTTCTCTTTCCTCCTAGTTGTAGGATTTCCACTCAGCCACCGTTCCTGTGGTTCTGGGTGATGTCCCTTCCGTTTTTTGGTTTCACTTTTGAAGTAGTTGTTCAAAGCAGCAAACTCCGGCGTTAACCTATGCCGCCATCTTGGTTCTCCCTAGAAAATTCTTGAAAAACCTTAAAAGTGTGGTTTTGAACTGTATATCCAGTAGTTTGCTTTCCTCCATTTCTGTCATTTGTGTCCTTTTTCTTTGTCTATGCATTTTTTATGCTTCCCTGTGTTGATAAAGTGGTTTTCTATGCTAAGTGTCCTCTAGGGTCCAGTGGTTCATCCTCCCCAATTACCTGAGGAGGACACTTTTGGTCCACCCCCTTGTGGTCTTTGTGCACAGTCTTGTTGTAGTTAAGCCTTGATTGTTGTAGGTATCACTGGGAGGAATTGACCTCCAGGCCAATTGGTTGTGAGAATCAGCTGTGTCTGCAGTGGGAGAACTTCTGTTCTGGAGACACCCCTCTGGGCAAGACTTGCTTCAGTGGGGCTTGGTGCTCACTGAGTCTGCCCCCTGAGTGTGTCCTTTATGGTTCCACGGAGCTGCAAACTGGACGGTCCCACTCTGACCTCTGGGTTTCCTGGCTCCTGGATCTCTAGGGAGGTGCTAATCTAGCCTTTGCCTGAGGCTATCCAGCAAAAGCCTCCCTGCAGGGCTTGGGTGGGGCGGGTCCCATGGGATCAACAGGGCGGGGCTAGCAGTTATGTCTGCTCTCAGAGGCTCTGCTTCTTAATGTCCCGGTAATCACTGCCAGCCCATCTGAGAGAAAGCTTCCCTCAAGTTCTGACTGATGCCAGACAGTCCAGTTTCTCCCGTATGAGTCTGGGTCCACAGAAACTCACCCGGAACTGGAGCTCAGAGCCTGAGACTCCCTCCCTATTGAAAAAGACAACTGGGCCCTCAGCCGCCATCCCGCTCTGTGTGCGCCTCTGTACCTTAGTATTTTACTTCCGCACTGAGCCTCCTCTGAGTCTTGGTATGCTTTTCTCTTTCCTTCTAGTTGTAGAATTTCCACTCAGCCAGCTTCCTGTGTTTCTGGATGATGTCCGTTCTGTCTTTTAGTTGTATTTTTGAAATGGTTGTTCAACGCAGCAAACTCCAGTGTTTACCTATGCCGCTGTCTTGGTTTCTCTCCTCGAAAAATACTTTAGAATTAGAAATTCCATCCCTATGTCCTTACTTTTCCAATTGCCCTATCAACAAATTGCTTTGTTATGAGCTATGGTTTTGAATAGTTGTCTCCTACATATTAATGGGGGTATTTTGTTTTCTAGTAGATGATGAAATAAAGGTTTCCAACACTCAGAAACACCACAGACTAGTTAGAAGTAATTCCTTGTCCTTTTGCTGTGGTTCATGTTAGGTATTTGAAATGAGGACCATGGTTCTGTGAAGGAATAAGGACAAGTAATTGTATAACTTACAGCTCAGGGAGCATTTGCAATGGTGGTATCTCATGGAATCCTGTCCAAATCCCATATCCCCTATTACCTACCGAGGAGAGGGGAGGAAGACACTTGCCTAAGGTTACAGAGTGGGTGTTTCTCCAGCCCCCTAGCCCAGTGCTATTTCTCCCCCACACAGAGTCCTTCAAAGCAAATTTTCTGCCTGGCCTAGCAAAGTACATGAGAGAGTGTGAAGGAATGGCCCCCTTGGCCCTGATGTAGGAGGGGGTCACAGTTTTATGTAGCTTCAGTTGTATAGTAATGAAAGCAGCGTCTTCTCTTCCTGGTGCACATGTGTCCCCTTGTCTGTCCATCACTGGGGGAGGTGGGTACAGATGTGCGTGGGTAGAATGATGAAACAGATGTGTCGAGGTTTACCAAGCATGCACAGCTGGTTCATCTCTTTCAGGTTCCCTAAAAGCTAGTTCAGCTTCTTCCCACAATTACGTGATAACAAACATAAGGTGCAGTCAGCATTCTCAGTGTTTCCTTTCCAAAAGTTTCACACCACTTTCAACACTCGGTGTCCTCATGTCTTGCATGAGAAGCCCATTTTTATTTACCCCAAAGCTCTGTAGTCTCCAGGGTAGCTGAGGTGTAGGAT